GGTACGACACCAGATTTGAATACGAGTCTTCCGAATGGCAGTACGCAATTCTAACTATTCGGCTACAGCGGCCCCGAACGAAACGGATAACTCTAAAATGTAGTAATCGTGCTCCGAATTCGCTATAATTTGCTATGGATCCTTTAGTTATTTATTGAAGAAAAGAAGAATTGAAAATATGATCGCTTTTAATCGCTTTTCTACTAGAAACAGTTAAAATAATGGATTTAGGGCAGATTAGCGCAGTTAATCGTTTAGATTTAAATTTGATATTTTACGTCAAAATTTTGTCAAAATCTCTCATTTTGGATATAACGGTTTTTAACAAATGTTGACAGTGCAGTTAGTGTTGCCAGATTGTTAAAACTGCATATATTATTATGTTACATAAGATTTTACATTATAAAAGTAGCTTAAAAGTACGGTATAAAAAATAATACCGTAGAATACGAAAATGTTAATATCGGTATTTTGTATTTCTAACAAGAAAATTCAATTTACTTCCAGCTTTTTATTTACTTTTTTCTTAAGTATTTAAATTCGACCCGCAAAAAGTTTTCTCCTAAATTCCCATTTGTGGATGTTCGGAATGGCCGCAGCTGTCACAATCTGCGTCGGTCCATCTTAAATCTGGCCTTATCTTCAACCTCACGATGAAAACAAGAGAGTTCGCCAAAGCAAGTGAACTGTTTGACATACACTGGGGCAAACAATTAGCCAAATATAACCCTGCGGGTTGGGAGCTCAAGAATTTACCCGTGACAGACAGGCCTTTGCACCGGAACGACACGGATTTTTATCCGGCCAAGAACTGTCACTGGTTTCAACAACATCAACATTAGCCAAATAACCCTGCACGATACTAACTACCTTGTTACATGCTCCCTAAACCCAACTCATATAACCCTGATTCCCTCTGGTCCGAGCCCGTGGAAACAGCTCGCTATCTACTGCTGCTTCTAAACGGAGTTAACGAAAATCAATAAAAACTTCCAAAACTCGCTTGGAGACATCAAAATTTTTATATAGTTTTTTTTTCCTAAAAGGTTGTAATAAGTAGACTGCAAATGTTTGTTGTAAGAGATAAGAGAAAAGAGAAAAAAAATTTTATGGTGCGTACATATGTATGTATTGTATATACTTATTTCGATAACAATATTAGATATTAGTAAATCTAATTTTATATACACGTATGAGCTTATTGGTTTTTATGGCAACGCAGTTGAGTGAAGTCTTTTATGGCTTTCTACAACAGAATATACTATAAGTATACACTCGTATATATGTACGAGGTGTGATCAGAAAATAACCGTTATTTTCAATTTTTCCAAAAGGCGTTTATTTATTCGTCAAAAACTATCTTGTCCCCTTCAAAGTAATCCCCCCTTTGGCGTTTTTCCCATTTTTCGAAAAACTTCTGAAACGAGCGGTTTTGTATCGCCAAAAGCAACTGTTTCGATTTTTCTTTTATTTTCATCGGTGTCTTCACTTTTGAGAAGAGGAAAAAGTCAGCGGGAGCCAAGTCAGGTGAATACGGTGGTTGGGGCATGATAACGGTTCTGGTTTTGGCCAAAAACTCACGCACAAACATCGATGTGTGAGCTGTCGCGTTATCATGGTGAAAAATCCATGATTGTTTATTCCAAAACTCTCTGCGTTTCTGACGAACGGCTTCACGCAAACGGCGAATAACTTCTTTGTAGTATTCCAACATCATCAACAACCTCTCTGAAAGTGCCTCGACGATTATCGCAAATCATTTTCTTCACTACTTCAATGTTTTCATCGGTTATTGAGATGCTCGGGCGACCAGGGCGAATATTTTCATTGACATCTTCTCGGCCTTCCTTAAACCGGTTATACCATAATTGAACTCGTATTCTGCGCTTAGTAGACTCGCCAAACGCCACAGTTTTTCGAACAGGAACAAAAACAAAGAGCACACCAAACCACCACTAACCTTGTTATATATCAAAAACAAACTGACAATCCAAAATGACTGATATTGTCAACATATATAACAGACATGTGTACCAGCATAACAGAAAAAAAGAGAGCATCGGACGTATGTACGTAACTCACGAAATTTGAAAATGACGGCTATTTTCTGATCACACCTCGTACATATATAATATAACAATATATGCATATGGTATATATGTTTTATATATACGTGCAACAATGTATAAATGGATTAATAACCACTTAAATAAAATTATATATGTATATCAGGTTGTACTAACGTATATGTATGTTTCTTGTATCGAGCATGCACTGCCTTCCATATGCTTAAATATATTGTCCATACATTTGTGTGTATGTATGTATGTATGTAGTGCAGGTAAGATTACAACGTTACATATCGCCTTTGAACTATTGATTTTTTCATATTCGTGTTCTATATTAAAGCATTGTTGTTGTTCTCACTCTAACATGAAAATAATTAGGTCTTTGATAATTCAATCATAGGTTATAAAGCGTTATTTAATCTCTTAGCAAGAGTGCCTTAAAAAATAAAGGGTGTGCCAAAATTAACACAAGATTGGTATTAAATGGAAAACACAGTTTTTAGTCTTTCCATTTTATTGATTCATAAGTTACATCGGATAGTTTTCTTTTTAGAGTAACACTTTGGACAAATAACCTACAAAGCTTCCATATACATACGCACTTGTTTAATGAAATTTTTCATGACTATTCTGCATAAATGTGGCGGAATTTCATTGATGCAACGTGGAACAAACCCACCAATGTAATTCATGACTCATCATCAAACTGTCTTCGCTGAACATTATCATAAGGCTTCAGTCGCCAATATTAGCACATTGACTATTGTAAGCATGGAGACACAGATCTTTGGCTAGTATACGCTGTAGAGAGGTCTTGAAACTTGCAATTCTTGTTCATGACGCCTATTTGAGATTCCTGGATGTCGGTGGATTTTTATGAAGGATTTTTATTTCATGTCAGAAATATACTCGGAGCGCTTGAAATTCCCTGCAAGAGAGGCGACCATAATTTGAAAAAATTTTTTCCACAATTTTTCATTTTGGTCGAACAAAACTCGAAATCTAACAAATCGCCTATTGCACCGCCGAACCCAACTTCAGAAATTTTAATTTACAAAACGACCTTTAGCTTACTGCATTAAACATAGAAACGTACCTTCAGTTTTCTTCGCTTAGCTGATCTAGAGTCACATTGCTGTGCTTGAAATATAGAATATGTTTATTTTTTTCTATTACGATGATCAGTTCCTGAACGGCAGCCGATCCTTTCGAAAGTAATTCTTTTCGCTGTCTGTCTTCCTCTTCCTCTACTTCAACCGGCGGGTGCTGCAAATTCCCAGCCAACGTAGCTTTTGTCTCTTGATTGATTGAACTATATCCGTATATCTCGTACAGTTCATCATTCTATCGGCTGTGTTATTCGCCGTTACCAACTCGTTTTTATCTCGAAAACGTCGGCCGGTCAGATGTTGTCATCGTCCATGCCTCCGCATCATTTGGTTTTTGTTCGTCAAGAAAAGAATTAACTTTTCAATTCCCTATTAAGTTCAAAAATGCATCCGTTGGCAACAATGCCACTGGATTTCTACAGCAATTCGTATTATTTTTTTCATAATCGAATTGAAGAAATCACATGACAAAGAGTCAACTTGCCTGAAGCATCGTTTGGTATCGAACGGCTCGGAGAGGTCTTTCACGATTCTCCCGAAGCTTTTTGGTTAACAGCTATGCCTTCGTGCTGTCGAAACAAAATGGTTTAAAATCAACGCAGAAGTCGTGTGTGTCGATTCTCTTTTCATGGGTCATTTCCAAAATTAGAGGCGCGATGAATATCTGGTCAATGGTTGACTTATCAGATCGAAAACCACATTGATAAGGCCCAATAAGCTTGTTGTTGGTGGCCTTTAGTCTTTCACACAATGCGCTCGATAGGATCTTTAATGTGGTATTGAGGAGGCTTACTCGCATTCCATAGTAATTTGCGCAGACTATTTGGTCCCCCTTTTTTGTGGATTGGGCAGAGCGCACTTAGGTTGCAATCGTCGGGCATGCTTTCATCCGACTATATTTTGTAAAAAAGCTGATAAATACATCTTATCAGTTTTTTACCGCCGTATTGAACAGCACGGCCGGCAATCAATCGGACTCCGCTGCTTTTTTGGGTTTCTAGCGGGCGATTTCTATTTGATGTTCATTATTTCAGTAATTTTGAAACTATACAGAAGTAAAAATGAAATAAGTTACAGTCTCCTAGAAAAAATGGATGCACAAAAAAGTAGAGGTACCACATGAGTTAAAAAGACCACATTTTCTACTGCGAATCGCAACATAATCGACACAATCTGAAGACGATGTAGACGGTCGTGATGACGAACAGTGAGCCGGCATAAACGGTCTCTAAACCATGATTGTTGCCCCGGTAGAGTTCGGCAAGGAATCATTCACAATGCCCCCTACGGCCGAACTCTTAATTGGATCTGTGATTTGCAATTGGACCGTCCGAAGAAAACAATTCGCCAGACGCGCTTAGCTTTGACCAACTGGAGGGACATTGTATTTCATCAGGAGAACACCAAATCACATCTATAGTGACTTGCCAGAAGATCCGAGAGCTTATTTTCGAAATTCTTTTGTATTCACCTCATTGTACGGACCTCGCACTAAGTGATCACCAATTGTTCTTGCATGTGGGAATTGATTTGCCTGGTCAAGAATTGACCTCAAAGGAAACCTGTGAAAATCGATTGACCCAATTTTTTGTCGATAGAGATAGGGTTTTCTATGAGAGAGGCTTAAGGCAAAATTAATATTGAAATTACTTTTTACTAGAGTTATTTTCATCGGCTGTACTTTTGAGTGAGAAATAGTTTTAGCCACAAAAATTATTTACATACATATATTTATGTGTATTTTATGTTAATTAACTTTCCACTCTTCTGTCCATCGACTTATGAATAAACTGATTTCTTCATACTTTTTCAAAAAAATCAGGAACTAATGCAGTAATCTGGCCATGTGCGTCCAGCGCTGATTGTACAGCTGCCGATTCAGTATGCTCTTCAACGACAGCAAATTGTGAATGCAGCAATTTTTCTTTCGTTTTCTCGAGTGACTTGACAACATGTCTGAAGACGTCACTAATTGGTGACCAATGCGAGGACACAGTTCAGTGCAATCTTATGCCATCGGGAGCCAGCTGTAAATCCGGGGTCTGCGACTGCGCCGATGGATATACATACGTGAGTGGACGATGTAGACTATTGAATGGCTTGGATAGTATATGCGAAACGGTGAGTACCGAAGAGGAAAGCACAGAGGAGAGTTGAATTATAATGAAAACGTACGTTTGTATGTATGTATATTGTTCATGCAGGATGCCGATTGTATATTTGGTTATGACCGCGAATCCGTCGCTTGCAGCGATAATGTATGTAAATGTGCTAACGGCTACTATCACCGGAGTGGAAACATATGCCGTCGCAAATCAATGAGTGAGTCAAATTGTTTTTTAAATAAACGTAGAAGTATCAATTTTTTTGGTTTCTTTTTTAGAAATTGGCGATGCCTGTGTCGTGCATACGGACTGTGAAGACTTGGGAACGAATGTGCAGTGTAATAGTTTAAGGTGTACAGAGGTATCACAAAGCGATTCCGAATCATCGAAAACCGTTTTAGACGTACGTACATACACATCCACACTCTCAGGCACAAATACCAATGCAGGCACGACCAGTACGAACAGCCATACAAAAACCGATATTGGAAATGAGAAATCACCTTCCACAGACGGTACATCACAATTCTCGAAATCATCATCATCGTCCACAAGCGGCACTAGTAAAGACACATTAGCGCTGGTGAACGGACGCAGTGATTTGAATGATACAGACTCGGAACACGAAACGGAGCAGGTTGAGCAAGCGGAAGCGGCGCGTGCTGGCGACAAGCGAAAATCACGTGAAATCGCTGTACAAACCAGTATCGATGCGCTTGAGTTAAAACCATTGGCACCGTTAGTGAAAAATGTCGGTACCGGCACTACATCGAGCACCAGCAGTCGGCGTATCTCACGTTATAGCAGACGCCGTCAATCTGCATTCCACTATGATGATGAGGATAAGACTTTCTCGACTATATCGAACACTGATGACGATGCGGAGGATAAACAATGTAAATTTATAAAGAAAAAATCATTACTGTATTTTCCACTGTCTAATTTATTAAACATTTTCTCTCCATCAGATGGCAGCTCGTGCACAGAAAACGGCAAAGTGTGTGCCGGACTTCCACATTCGATTTGCTCACACAATATTTGCTTCTGCCGCTCTGGATATTATCCAAATAATGGAAAGTGTTTTGCAGGTGAGTTGGCGAAAATTTGAAGAAAGAAAGAGAGAAAGAGAGTGAACTCAAATATCTAATATCTTATTCTTTCAGAGCTTGGTGAGATAGCGGAGAGTGCCGACGAATGTGAGCATATATTCGACGAATCATCCAAGAAATGTATTTGCCAAAATAATTACTTCTACGAACGTAGTTTACGCTCTTGCCGAAAACGTAAGTCTGAATTGCTGCAACTAGTCAAACTGACCGCACACGAAGCGCGACAATGTGGACAAGTGTTCAAGTGTTCAAATTAACGAGTAAGACGGAGTGGGTTTATTCTTGCTAGAATTTAATGGACGAGAACTGGCTTAAAAGACCGAGAGGCATCACTTATAGAGCTAGTATTCCTGCAAAAGACCTACCTTCAATGGGTTGGACCGAGAGGCATTACTTGTAGTACTAGTATTCCTGAAAATTAAATGAACGGATGACTATTTCAATGTAAAGAGAAAGAAATGGTCGCCAGGGTTACTCTTACGGCACTTTTTCAGACATTTTCCATCACCAATCCAATCGCAAAGTGGCTACTGTATGTCTTCAATAGCTTCACGAATTCCTTCTTCTTTGAGGTCTTAAATCAACGTTGGCCTATTGGCCTAGACTTTATCTTTTAGGTGGACTCAAAGGCAAAAGTCGCCAGGTCTTAAACCACAAGATTTTGGCGGCCAATTGCAATCACCTCTTCGGAAATAATAAGGTTCGGATACTTTTCCCTTCTTTGCTATGCGACATTGAAAGGAAGCGTTGTTCAGATCAATACCATTCAATTCCGGAAATAAGAAATCACTATTTATTTCGAGATACCACAATCCATTCACCGCAACTCTCGCTCCAGCCTCATTTTCAAGAAAGTAAGGTCCAATGACCCGGCCGAACAATAAACCGCACAAAGCAGTTAGACGTTGAGGATGGAAAGTCCCAGATACGAAAGTTTTGCTTATTGACGTAGCCATGGAGGTGAAAATGGACCAAATCAGTCAATATGATTTTTCGATGCAATTTTTATAGTACATTTTAATGATTTCAATGCGTTGTTGAAGAGTGTACACGTATCCTCATCGGAAACGTCTTTATAAGAAACTTGTTGGATCCGGCAAATGCGGAATAGTAGGTATAGTGTAAGGTAGCTCTTCAGAGACCATAGCTCTAGCAGTGCAGGATTCGACTATCGGTTTCCCGATGAGTATTAATAGAGATGAGTTCGGCCAACTTGTCTAATTCATAATATTGAAATTAATTGAAAAAGTAGAAACCAACATAAATGAGATATGGAACGAGGCCACGGCCTTTACCTTTCCGGACGTACTATAGTTTTCTCGTTTGACCTCGACGATCCGTCTCTGTTTTAATATCATTTCTAAAGGTCTCTCAGACACAATAACTCTCACTCTCGTTTGCCGAAGTAGCTGAGTAGGTAGCAGTGCTTGTTACGTGTCGGATGATCATAATGCCAGGTCAGACCAAAATCTTTAGAGGTTTTTTCTATACGCCGTCACTCCGTGGTTGGGACCATATGAGTACAACCATCACGAATACAAACTTTAATTATTCTTTAATTTTACCTGTTGAACGTTTAAACTAAATAAACTTTTCTTCTCTTTTCTGTGTGCCTTAAAACCGATTATAGCAATCCAATATACTTTATCATGTACCTCGAACAGCCAATGTAGTCCCTTCGGTGCGGCCTACTGCCCCACGGTAATACCTAGACGTTGCACCTGTGAAGAATATGCAGAATACGATGAGCTGCGACAGATTTGTGTCTACAAGCAGGGTTTGGGCGAATATTGTGAATCGGACGATGTCTGCGGCACAGTGGCCAATGCGCTCTGTACGAATAATAGCTGTCAATGTAAAGAGAATTTCCTCGAAAGCAATAATACATGTGTGCCAGGTAAGTGGTTATTGAAGACTGGCAGAAACGATAAACGATAGATTGAAATAAAAATTACAAAAATCTATGTCTTTGATTTAAGGCGTTGGTGCTAATTGCGACACGGATGTTGAATGTGGTGTAGATAATTCAGTTTGTGACTTCACCTCGCCGACCAGTGAGGAGAGAGAGAAAACTTGTCAGTGTAAAAAGGGATATGTACACTTTAAGGATGAGTGCCTTAAGGAGGGTGAGTAAGAATTGGGTGATCCTTTATATCCATTATACATTATTGTATCCAACCAAAAAATAGCTGAGGAACTTGAGGACGATTGCATAGAAACGGAACAATGCAAACCTCTATTGGGCACCTGCGTTGACAAAAAGTGTTCTTGCACAGCCGAGCAGCACTTTAAATATGGACTGTGTGTAGAGAAGAAAGGTAAAATTATAAATTTAATATTCTTAATTTTTAAGATTTTTACGATTTTTCTTTCCTACCTTAGCTCTAGCTGAGGCTTGTTCTCGTTCCACTGAGTGTTATGTTGAGAAGGAACCGGAAAATGTCGAATGTCGCAACTCGGTTTGCCAGTGCAAATTTGGCTATCAAGCGGATGAAGAACAAAAGACTTGCATACGTGTGGTAGCCAGTACTAAAAGTAAGTGGAGCGCGCATACATACATACATACATAAGTGTACATAGTGTTCAGGTGGATATTTAAATTTTAGAAGTTTTTTACATTTATAGAACATAATTGGTTAAACTACTAGTCAGGCTCACCAGAAATGATTCAAACTATAAGTACACTCTTCAAAGGTTTAAACATCGAAGGGAATTTTATTAAAAATTGGCACCGAGACTGGGGCATATTCATGCAGAAACAAAAGCGCTGATCTGGTGATTAATGCTCAAAGCATTTTAAAATTTTTGAGGGGAGGACTTTCCAGTCTGATAAATAAGCCCGCCTATGTGGTTCTTTGTGAATTAGTAATGGCGAATATAGACGTCATGGCTACGCTTGCAGGAGCGTATCCTTTTATGAAATCATCAAATCGTACAGTGGCTGCTGTGTGCCTTCAATTGCTTCATGAATTCACTTTGAGGTGTTGAATCGAAGTTGGCTTGTTGGTGTAGACCTTATGTTTCACATGACCCCAAAGGAAGAATTCGCAAGTTGTTAAACCGCCAGATAAAAAGGTTCGGATGGTGTAAGCCATTCATCGTAATTGTTGCTCCAGCCTAATTTTCGAAAAATTCGTTGAGGATGGAGAAACTTTTCAACAATAAATCTAAGGTTTTCCGAGTCCCAAACAGCAAAAAAACGCCGACGTTGCTGAGGATCGACCGGCTTAAGTTCCTATAAACTGAACTTTATAATTTTTAAGATTCAAGTCTTAATGTGCGGCATCCCTGCAGAACTAATACAGCTAGAAATCGAGGCTGGTCGGCACCACAGGCTGCCTGGATTAAGAAGGACCTCTTTAAAGGGAATGGTCTAATGCCGACTGAATGTACTTGCTTTGCTGTGAGAGCTTTCAAATCAGGATAGAAAGAAATAAAATGTAGCTTGGCATTTGAAGTAGTGCAAAGTGTCTAATAAATTTATGTTTCACTTGCATCTGCTTTCATTTCAGTATGTGCTTTTGACACTGAATATTGTAACCACCGCTGTTGCTCTGGCCGAAATGTACCAATTTTGACAGTATTCGAGCGCTCAACGGACCTGGCTTTACTTGGTGCTTTTTATTTCATGTCAAACATGTACTCGGAGGCCTTGGACATTCCCAGCCGAGGGGCGACCGCAATTAGAAAAATTAGCTGCATTTTTTATTTAAATTAATTTTCTATAACTTTTGAATTTTTATCGAACCCTACCCTTCCTAGTGTATATATACTACCAATTTTTCAGAAATTTGATTTTTTAGTCATCCATTTTTCACAAAAGCATCTAGGAGCGTAAAATTAAATCGGGGGACTATCTCATATAGAACCCACACAGACGATTTGTTCACATATGAGGTTTCTATATATGTATGTAAAACAGTATGCACAAACAAACTTTTCACAAAAAAACATCGAAATCGGTAAGCTCCATCCATCACACCCCCCTCCAACGAATTCTCAGATATGAAAATAAATAGTCAATCCTAAATGGAAATACCATAAATTTGATCTGTCATGACCATGAAGACAGTTCTTCTCTTTTTGTTTTATATCCGATCTTGGTCTTCCTTCCTGCATGCGTTATTTATTTCAGCTGATCGCCTTTCCAGCGAGTATCCGGGATCTCCGTTCGGCAAACAATTAGAAATTTTGGGACGACGTTGTCATCATTGCCATATTAAGTCTTAAAACTTTCCTTAAGTAGTGGCTTGCCACATGACGTAGCAATGGAGATTTTTGATTGAACGCTGACGAGATCATGTCGTCCGAACGAATCAAAGCGCTCCAGCTTAGAAAGTATTCGATGCAGCACCCGCCGGTTGAAGCAGAGGAAGATCTGTACTCCGTTGGAAGGATCAAGCGGAGTGTAAACCGGTTTCCAACTGGCACTTGACAACAAAGTTAAGAAACGAATGGTGCGCTATTTTTGATTCGGCTATAATCGCGTAAGCGGTGCACACGTCAATGAAGAAGTATCTACAACAATAACAAAACTGCACTATGTTCCAAAGTTAACATGATATGAAACTATCACGAATTGCAGACAAATGAGTTCATCGATTATTTTTTCTGGGCAGGCAACAAACCCAAAATGAAGGAACTTTGAACAGCTGACCAATAAGTAGCCTCAGTACCACTTAGTTAATAATGAAACTGCCGATTTTTCATACAGTCGGCATTGCCGATTTCATTGAATTTTTTCAGTCGCTTTCAGCTTTGTTTGGCGTTAATTTTAATATGGAGCCTACAAAAGAACAAACAGTGTCAAAGTTGGTTTGTCAAATTCTGTTCAGGAGACTTTTCACTCAATGATAGGCACTCAGATCGGCCAAGTGAAGTGGATGATGAGGATATCTAGGCTTTGATCGAATCGGATCCTTATGAAAGTGAACGTGAGATTGAAGAGAAGTTAAGTATACCAAAATCAACCGCTCATAATCATATACGACATCTCGGACTGGTAAACTACTCGATATTTGGTACCACATGAATGGAAAGAAATTCATTCAACAAGCCGCTTCCAGGCTTGTGATAGGTATCTTAAACGCAACTAGAGATGAAAAATGGATTGTTTACAATAACGCCAATACAAAAAGGGTTCATGGTCCAAGCATGATGAAGCATTACAAACCACTTAAAAGGCTGATATTCACCAAAAGAGGATTATGTTGTCCGATTGGTGGAATTGGAAGGGTGTGGTATATTCTGAGCGGCTACCAAGGAATCAAATGATTAATTCGCAAGTCTACTGTGAACAACTGGACTAATTGAATACAGCCATCAACCAGAAGCGGTCAGAATTGGTCAATCGTAAAGTTGTCATATTCCACCAGGGCAATGCTAGACAGCACACACCTTTAATCGCTCGCCAAGAACTGAGAAAGATTGACTGGGAAATGTTATGCAGCCACCATATAGCCCTAACCTTGCACCGTCGATTGTTGTTCCTTTTTTTCAGAACTCATTAAATGGCAAAACTTTCTAAAATCACGAGGCTATAAAATCGGACTTGGTTCAGTTTTTTGCAGATAAAAGCCAGAAGTTGTATGAGCGTGGAGTAATGATGTTGCAGGTAAGATGGCGAAAGGTCATCCAACAAATTGGCAGTTACATACATAACTGATGAAAGTTCATTATAAAATTAAAAAAAAAAACTTATTTACTTTCTTTTAAAATTTTAACGGTTTCTTTTGGGGAACCCAATATTTGTTGACGCCAATTTCAGCCGTAAATGTTTAAAAATATTCATATGCAAAACTTTCTTTAGCACAAAAAGGCAAAAAAAAATTCTTCGAGAATCCCTTTTTACGAAGTGGCCAAATGTCATAAGAAACGTGGATTTTTAAAGCGTTCTCACGAGGTAAAGAGTTTCCTATCATGTTTTCTTCGATATGTTCTACCAAGAAATTCGATTGCACCACTGCTCTTAATTAGCATTTAAGAATAGTTTTATTATTACGTTTCTTCATGCCTCTGTGTGTTGTGTTATTATGAGAAAAACTAATGCCAAATAAATAATATAAATCCCATTAATTCTCTTTCAGATTCTTCCGGAAGGCCAAGTGCTCTTAAAATAATTACATTCCTACTGATAGGAGCAGCTTTCTTAATAACAAGTGCCGCAATTAAACAGGCTTATTACGATTAAATTTCAATTAAGTTAGTTATTTATGTGTAATGTCAATTAGGAGTGTAAATTATTTACCTTAAATCATTTCGAAGCGCAACACATAAATTGATAAACGTGCTTTAAAAACACTATTTAACTGTTATGCATTCATTCTTTAACACTCACACATACATACTCGTACATATATACATATCTTTGCTATTTAAGTATTTAATTGATTTTTACGCTTTTTGCAAGAATTTCTTCTGCATACATACATACACCAGCCTTAAAATATTCGAAATTTATAAAATTCTATTTAAATTAAATACTTCATTTAAGTAATTTGAAAGCAAAAATGAGAGGAAAAATATGCAAAAAATAGCAAAAAGTATTAAGTAAACTTTAAGGTATGAAGTGACAAAATATGTATTTATGTATTTACACAAATATATTAAATAAAAGCAAAATTCCAAAAGCAATACCTTAACCTAACCGGTGTGTAATGATTACACAACTAACGCAATTACATACTTATATACCCGTGTTAACAAAAGCTAGACAATTTTAAACAACGAAAGTGTTTAAGTAGTTCTTAAGGGCGACATGTAAATCAGAAAATTAACTAAAAATACCTAAGATTCAATATAAGTTAGCCATGTGCATATTCTTACACAAATACATACATATGTATATAATATAGTTGAAGAATTCGTTTTAATCTTAGGTTATAGTCAATAAAACTTTTGAACTTATTGCCAAAAACTAGCGTGAAGTACTTTTGCTATTACAAATATTTGTTGAAAGGCTCATTGATTAGTACAGGGTTTTCCAATAAGAGGCATCATTTGGATATTCAAAGAAAATGGTATTTTGGTACCCTTTTTAATGGAATACCATATCAGCCAAATGGGCGCCACGACTACATTACCATTTTATGAAATTTTCCATAATCAAATCGCAAAGTGGCTGCTTCACGATTCCATCTTTGTGGCTTTGAATCGGCGTTGTCCTGTTTGGCGTAGACCAGTGTTGTCCAAACTTTTTTTCGGCGTGGCCACAAAAGTGGCCATCGGATCTATTCAATTGCCACTTTTTCCAAAACCTAAGAAAAACAATGGAACAACTAGAGAAGGTATAATCTTCTATAAGATTGTAGAGCTGCTGGCCTCCGTCGACAACCGCGCCTTGAGTTCTGCTTTCTCCAGACTGTAGAAGCAATCAAAGGATTTGGGCATACTAGCGAACGAGGGCAAGACGAAATATCTCCTGTCATATTGCTTTCGCGACTTGGCTCCTACTACGTTACTATCGACAGCCGTAACTTCGAGGTCGCAGATAATTTCGTCTATCTAGCGACCAGCATCAACACCAATAATAACGTAAGACCTAAAATCCAGCGCAGAGTCACTCTTGCCAACAGTTGCTACTTCGGGCTGAGTAGACAATTGAAAAGTAAAGTCCTCTCTCAGCGAACAAAAACCAAATTCTACAAGTCTCTCAACGTTCCCGTCCTGATAAATGGTGCGGAGGCATGGACGATGACATTATCTAAAAAATCTTTGGTAGGAGTTTTCGAGAGAAAGGCTTTGCGTAATATTTATGATTTTTTGCGTATTGGGAACGGATAATTCAGCACAGTCGATGGAACGATGAGCGGTACTAGATATTCGTTGACAAGAAATAGCGGTTACGCTGCCTAGGTCATGTGGTCCGAATGGATAAGAATACTCCAGCTTTAAATATTTTGTATGCAGTACCCGCCGGTGAAAGCAGAGAAAGAGGAAGACCTCCACGCCAGGCTGTACTTGGTATTTCGAATTAGCGCCAAACAGCAAAAAGAAGAAATAATGGCACAATGTTGTTGTCGCGTTAGCAGTGTCTACGCCAGTAAAGTAAGTAAGTAAGTGATACACAGCGCCGTTATTTTGAAATTAATCGTTTTCCAGATCAATACCATCCAGCTCCAACCCTGCTAGGCCATAAAAAGGCTTTTCAAGAAGAAATCTTGGATTTTCCGAGTTGTTGAGGTAGTGGAAACGGCCCTCACCAGTCAAGATAATTTATCGATGAAATTCCGTATCATTTATAACTGGCGCTTTGTAACCGTTGAAACGATTTTCGCTCCGAGCTCGTGGTTTTGCGTCCTGATGTTTTTCCAACAAATGGAGCTACAGTTTATACTAAGCCGCCTCCGAACGCCTGATGATTTTTTATGAGAAGCTTTGTTTTATGTCAGAATTACACTTGGAGGGGTTGACATTCCCTGCCGAGAGGGGAACGAAATTAGAAAATGTAACTTTTAATTTAAATTAGTTTTCAATAACTTTTGGATGTTGGTCGCACGGGGATTTAAGCCCGAGCCTTTCGAACGACAGTGCGCAATGCCAACCACTCGGCTACCACGTCCGCCTTCATTTACATACATTTTAAGGACCCAAACAACAAAGACATGACGTTGTTCATGATCGGCGTTCTCGTATTAACGGATCTTTATAAGACGTAAGACCCAAGTCTATATACAAACCTGGGCCTTTTTCAACACTTTGGGCTGAAGCAGCAGTATTCTCAAGACGTGTTTTACTCTGCACTTAGGTAACATGTTTCAAAAGCTGTTGAAGCGCGCATCGTCCCACTTTCATTAATGGCGTATTTACTCGTAGTACTTGTCAAATATCAAAAATTTCATACCCTATCTTAAAAAAAATGCACCCTTCCAAGTCGAAACCAGGACTTTGGTATTGGGCAACATAATATCAAATCAGGGCTGCTTACCATACTGTTGGTAAAATACATCAGTTATTTCCATTGAGAAATCAAATAAATGTACTACTAACGGTTCGAATTTTAGATCAATATCACTTTTGCCATGCTTGAGTAAAATAATAGAAAAAACTATCGTCGTTGTTGTTGTAACCGCAAATTATTCCCCGAATCGGGTTTCGGGTAATATTGCGGGAGTAACAGTCCTTGGCCGGATAAAAAATCCGGATCGTTCCGGTATAAAGACCCGACTGTCGCGGGAACTATTGGATTTTAGTCGCCTCTTACGACAGGCATGCCTTACCACGGGTAAATTTTGGAGCCCCTAACCCGCGGGGGGCTTTCGTCAATCACTTAGTATGGTTCTCAGATTTCATTAAATGTTGTTAAGGACTTCAATGACCCATTCATTACCAAATTATACCCAGTTATAGGGAGTCCAGACTATCAATAGCATAGAGATAACTTCGAACTTGTACGAGTATAAAGGCGATTCTTACTATGGTATTAAGCAACTTAGACTGGGATGCGAATTACATTCTTCGTCATCATAAAAGTCATTTTCGGCTCATAATCTGCCTTCACCACATACCCGTAAATCGATGTTTGAAGATTATTTTAAAATGAATTGATAAGAGGTGTTATCATCCCTTTAAGATCATCTAGACCTCGGTTATGGTGTTCGTGCAACATTCCACCAGCTCTGATTCCTCCAAGCCTTATTAATGCTTAGAGAACTAATTTACTTTAAATAAATAAATAATTTCCTTCACCTTTTTCAATGTGATCTATAGCAGGTGGTGAACAAATCTGTAACTGTTTAGTGTAAGAGGTGGGGGCAGTCCAGACTGACTGGTTTTAGTTCTGGCCCGACCAACATCCAAAATTATAGAAATCCTAATAAAAAAATTACATTAATTTTTCCTATTTGCGTTCTTCATTAGGCTGGGAATGTCACGCCCCTCAATTGTGTTCGTAAATGAAATAAAGGCTTCTCATCAAAATTTGTCAAATGTTTTCGATGTAGCTTAGTATTAAGTCTAGGTCTCTACATTTGTTGGGAAAATATCAAGGCGCACATCATAAATATGAGGAGGAGCTCGGCTCGAAAACATTTCAGCAGTTATAAATATATAAATAATGCTTGTGTACATACATACATACATAAATATTTTTCGAAAAAAAGTTATTATCCTCAATATTTATATAAATCCCCCTGAGAATCCCGATTTTTGTTTCTCTTCCCCTTTCTCTTCAAATTCGAAAATACAACGTTGAGCTAAGGCAGTGGGCAAAGCCTCTTTCTACTCTACTTACTTCATCAGTAAATTATTTCATAATAAGAATTATTTTCTTCGGTCTTGGCTTTATTGAGCATATAAAAAATATTGCAAAATGCCAAATCGATTTCGATAATTTTCGAGGGCATTCAGCTATTGAATGTAAGTGAGAAGATTACCGAATTTTATACTGTAGGGCGGAATATTGATAAATATATATGACCCAAAAATATTTTTTTAAATTATTCATATATATGTATATGTAAGAGTTGTCCGATCTAGCCGATTCCGATAAATGATAAATGATAGTTTCAAGTTTGCATCTGAGTACAAAAACTAAAGGACTAATTTGAGAACAAACAGAAAAAAAAGATGAACAGAAGGACATGGCTAAATCAATTCAACTCGTCACTCATATGATCACACATATGTATATACATTTTCATTGGTCTATATCTTCTCCTTGAGGTACTTACATTCTTCAAAAGTTAGTATATCATTTTATGTACAAATCATGTACATATATTTTGAGGTATATTTAAAAGTACAGACATTTTTTTCTAAGTTTTTTTTTTAAATTTTTATTGCTGTAATTCCTAGTAATGAAACGAACGATCTCATTCTTTCCATCATTAATTTTGTTATATCCATCTGCCGTTTGGAGGAAACAAGTATAAGCTATCCATTTGTTGGAAAAATATTGCCTCTTCATGACTCGCCACACATTGAAAGAGGAGCTCGGCCGAAGATCGCTTTAACGGTTGCAATGCTTCAATTAAACTATATACTCGCATGTGTGAAGGATTTTTTTTTTTGGAACGAGTGTTTTTCAATGAAGCAATTCTTTTTCCAGAGTTGGTTTTTTTTGACAGATTTTACTTGATTTAAACTTACTTTGGTTTCTCGTTTTATAATTGTACAGACTTAATTCGGAACAACGTTTGCAAGTCCCGCAAATTTATTGCCAAAATAACGACTCGGTCTCTCCCTTGCTATCTCCTACCGGCTTTTCATTGCGGTTGTTAAGCCAATACTTTCCTACAGATCTTTAATTTGTTTTCACAGATGGTTCTAAAATGAACGAAGGAAGGGTTTTCCGTTTACTGTACCCAACTACAATCGTATAAGCTACCAAACTATTGCAGTATTTTCCAAGTCGAAATATTTGCCATAAATACGGTGGCAGAGCTACATTTACTGGGTGCCAGGCCATACGGGTATCGAAGGTAGCGAGATAGCTGACCAACTAGCTAAAAAGGAGTATATTTAGAA